ATATTTTTGAAGTGAAAATTCATTTCGGACGGGGTATAAATGAAAAAGTCTTATGGAAAAGATGAAAGTCGTGATATATATATATATGTAAATCTGTGTATGTGTGTGTGGGCATGAAAGTTGGAGGGTAACAAGGCGAAGGCTGAAACTCTAGGAGCGTCACGAGCGTCACACGCGACAATATATATATATATATTTACATAAATATGAGTGATGTGTGCGCTGCTCCATTCCCCTATGCCTTATGCATCGCCTAATGTTATGTTATTTAAGAATAGAAGTGTCACTTCAGATGTCTAGGACGTGCATTCATTTTTATTATACCGAAAAGAAAACCTATAAATTTCCTATGGGATTTTCAAAAGGCTGACAATTGGACTATGGACCTACCGGTACATATTCTAGAATTTATATGCCCATTAACCATTCCATAGTGCTCTTTTAAAACTCTAATGTCTCCACGGATGAAGTGTAAGGCTGTCTAGTAAGTATATTAAATAACGTAAGCTGTTCATAAATCAAGGATAAAATACGATGCAGTAATCTACCAACCCTAAAACTTTGTAGGGAAGTACTACAATGTTTCAATTAGGATTTAGTAATAAAACTTTGTGACTTAGACCTCTGAAGAGGTCAAGCTCGCTAATAAAAGATATAAGCGACTTTTACAATGGTTTTTGTTTGGACAGTCGACCAAACATTATTTATCTTGTGTTTTGGAATGTACAATATGATTTCGGCTACATTTCCAGCCTGTGCACTAAAGTGAAGGTGAAGACGTGTGAAGTTTGGACTTTATCACCACCTAACATCAGGTGGGGTAGAGTCATTTACCTACCTAGCTATAAAAAAAGTGAGGAAAAAACTGATGACAGCTCGCACCGAAACAAATAACATTTCGCCCTATCTTTCTGATATATAGGTGAATTTCAAATGCCCTTAAATCAGGCTAAGTGGTAGATGTAAAGACAACGGCAACTTGCATACAAGTAGGCTGCTTAATAGATGCGCGGGCGCCTCTTAAAGCAATATCGCTACGTGGTCCGTAGTTTTCGAAGCAAATTGACTCAATCTCAAGCACTGATTACATTTTAAGATAGCGATAAAAATAGACGACTATTTTATTGATAGTCGCGTTTCTGTTAATGTTCCCTATTATGTGATACTTATAGGAATATATTGAACGGTGGATGTGGCACGTTTTTAGTGTAGTCTTTAAACTATCGAAGAAAGCGTGGAATACCTACTCACTGGCTTGTTATATTTTATTTCACTGATATTGAAAGTGTATTTTTATATTGAAATAATGTTTAATTAAATCATATTGGTATTGAATAATAAGCATCAGATATCATAATAAAAGACTCGTTAAAAACCCATTATTGCCTGAATAAATATTAAGATCTGACATATATACATGATACATTGCCCTAGTAATCTAGGGCAAATAAAAATAAAGATTTATATTTTTATAAAAGAGTTGAGTTTCGTAAGCCTTATGATCATTAAACTACTAATGATACACTAACTACTTACTTAGCACAAAGTGTAGTTCCGAATCTATGATTTTTTAAACTTTAAAACGCGATATCTCAAAACACTGTTATTGAAGATAATAATACTCTTTTGTTTGTGATGTGCGATATATCATGATCAGCCTGATCCTGGTGCCAAAAGAATATACGTATTTTCCCACTACCTTCAAAAATATTTCTATGAAAACAAAATACTGCGACGGGACAACCAACATAAAACATAAACCGACATGTCTGTGAACTTTATCTTGCGAGGTCAAATAAACTCTAAAACATTTAAGTACGTGCTTAAAATTATGGATTTTCGATACATCAGAGTTTTCGCAGCTAGAGTAACATCGTCTTAAGTATGTTATTATAACATCTATACTTTACGAGCGGGTCGTTAAAATAACACTCGAGAGTTACAACCTTCTCTGGTAACGTGGAACTTGCGTAAAAAACAGTGCAGGCATAATAAAATAAATGTTTGGGTTCATATTTTGAAGCAGACTGAAGGAATTCAAACATCGTTGATAAGTATGAGAAGAAACTGAAGATGATGATGATGACTGAGTATACAAACGAAATAGAAATATTTTGAATTTTTATATACTTATAATATTATAAAGCTGAAGTGTGTTTATATTATATATATATTTAGTTGAAGTGTTTCTATGAATAGCGCGTTTGACAAAATAAACTCTTCTACCTTTCAATATTTTATAAAACCCGTAGCCTGTGCATCCCCATTTTGTTTTTCACGATTTACCTCTTATTATTCGAGTTATTCTGAAGATTCAGGCTTCATTTATGTCTTAAATCAACGCTGAGTAGTTTCTCTATAAGCTTATCTATATCTTAGATGTGTTAATTCAAAACCATTACTAAATATGAAAAATATAAAAAATTAAAATTATTTTCTCAACTCGTGGCAGAAATCATGCACTTACACAGACGAGGGGATACACTTGTATATATATATATATATGACATGCAACCGTTACTGGCTGACTGATATATCAAAGCACCGGTCAAACTACTAAACGAACACACATATAGCTATTATGATGAAGGCGTGCGCTGAGAAAGGATTTTCAAAAACTTACCCCTTACATATGAAAGACGAAGTTAAATATCACTTCGTCTCAAACAACTTTTAGTATAAAAAACAATTTAATAACAAATTTTATAAATGGAGTCTATGAAAAACTACTTTATAAATTTAAAGTTTTGAATATCTTAAATATACCTAAGTTGAAATGATTTACAAAGTTATATGACAAAATATTGTACAAAACTTAGGGTACTCCAGCACTAAATAGTTTAAATCTAAAGAAAATATAACTAAAAAAAAAACATCAAGCGGTTGCATAAAAAGTAATCTCTAAATAGTTTCAAAAAAATTACAATCACCAGACAAAACGAACAATCCTATTTCCTATGAATCTAAAGTATGATCGCTTGATGTGATTGGTATCTCGTTGAAGTCTTTTGTACTAAGCTGCGCCAGCGCACATTATTACTTGAAATTTAAGGTTTACTAATTTAAGGTATAAATTTACCCAAATCAAAACTGTTTAATTTTGTAATAACATATGTAGTAAACATGTAAATGATGTTTTGATTAGAAAAGTTTTAAGTATTGTTTTAGTGTTATAACAAAGCCTGAAATGTTGCCAATTTGACATATTGTGTCCTTTATGGTGTTATGCAATAAAGAATAGTAGTATTGTAATATAACCGTTATGCTACTGACTACCTATAATTTGACGAGCATGTTATATACTTATAAAACTATTAAAAAAAAATCTCACGCCTTCTTTGATGTTCTGGTGGTGAACACACAAACATATGTAATACTACTTGAACCTACTTCAATTTAAAATTGAATAACGCAAAAGGAACTTTGCTGATGCTAGGTCGTTTGCCCAAAACCAATTCTAGGTAACATGGTCAATATTTAAGGCAATAAGGTCTTGTTTCGCTTGCAGTCGAGATCGTGTTCGATGTAACGAGAATCGAGATGTACCATTGTTCAAATAAATGGACTTAGATCGCGTCGAGATACACCCGGTGTCAAATGCCACTAGAATTAGTTCAATTACAAACACAATACCTGAATTTAAATGGCAAAAGTCTATATTGTGTAAGTGGAAATGAGAAATACAAAAAAAATATACGCTTAACGCAATTATGTATATGATGGTACCGATATTTCGTTAAGCACGTTTCTTTGGAAAAATTACAATTTTCAACGTCAAATCACACTTTTTATGTGACTTGATACAATTCAATGGACTATTTTCTTCCTATGGTTTCACTTGAAAGTAAACTTTCAGCTCAACTGTACAAAAATTATATTCTAGCAATTTAAAAAGTTGACAATTAAACTTACTTTTTCAGAATAAACAATACAGACAATACTTACAAAAACAATTATCATTGTGTTCTATACAAGTTTTTGTAAATACACTTTGTTGTAAATTAATTAATTGTAATGTATAACACTTTTAATTTCAAAACAAATACAATTGTGAGTAACAGGTATATTTGGTGAAATACAAATTGCAAAGGTGTTAGATCAGGTTTTTTACCAGCTCCGTATAATTTATTTAAGCAGTTACTCCCGACAAAAGATTTCGGAGCCATAGTGGTGAATAGTGGGCAAGATGTGTCGTTTAGATAGCATTGCCACGATCCTGCCATCAGTGCCGGGGTGGTTACGGCGACCCTGGCTGCGCTGGACGCATCCCGATGAGTTTATTGACTTTATACTTATACGAGTATCAACTAGCTTAGACCGCGACCCCGCTTGGGTGGACAGTCGCTTCTTTCTTGAGTAATGCCTTTTTGTTTTGATTCAAGTTGATTTTGAAATCCATTAATCTGGTAGTTTGAATGATGATTTTTTATGAATTTTGTTAATTAGGATTAATTATATTAACATAACTTTATTTTATAATTAGTGCATAATAAAGTTTCTTCATAATTTTAAACTATGAAAATTGGTTAAAAAAATACAACTCCTTAATATAAACTTACTTCAATAATACAAATTATATACTATCTAAGTGATTGTGCTATCGGTAAGAAAAAATAGGAAATTTTGAATTGCCTTAAATGAAATTACTCGAAAAAAAAACGGAATGAAAACAATAAACATCCACGCCTTCTCTATTGAAGCGTAAACAAATAAAACTGCGACGCCGCTCGTCACGACGACTTGCAAAAACAGTTTAACTTATCAAAGTTACTGTAACTTTGCCATTTAAGCTTATAAACGATGTAACAAAAAACTAACATGTTCATCGTACGTTCGATTACAAGCGTAACTCACTTTGCGCAAACCGTTTAACCAAATAAATATTAATATGTAACTACTTACTAATAATCCACATAGCATAGAATTTAATAAATGAACTAAGGTACATAGCCGAAGAAACAACCGGTTGGAGCTTACGACTAAATAAAATCGGTACTTACTGTTATCACGCAACAATTACGAAAGGCAGCAGTGTTATCAGCTATTATGTAAAAGAGGGCGGTCCTTCGGCGCCTCCCAGCGCTGTCACTTTCCAGCCTCCCGCCAAAACCACCCTTGCACCCACTGTCTGAATAAACAAAACACAGTCTGACACTTGTCCACGAAATGTTGTGTTGTCGCGTCACTGCGCGCGCCGTTCAACGCGCGTCCGATACCACGCTTGGCCCGTGCCGTACTAGAGATTCGGAACCGGCCGTGGCTACCAACTTGAGGACAACCGCCCGCCGGCCGCAGCCAGTCCGAGTCTCAGCTAGGGCCTGACACCACACTAGACCCGAGCACCTATACAGCACGGCCATACTTACTGCACGTTTTAATCGCGACCGCCTTTATGCATCGCATCATGTACCATAAAAAAGCTCTAGAGTGGGCTTTCTGCTATCTTTATTTGAGAAATTTCACACTTTTTATGACATGATAAATAAATCTGGAGAAGTTTTCTCGAAGGAAGATTATTCCATTTTGAATTTTATTAACATTGCCTGAAAAAAAACTTTGCTTCATGGGGTTTTTGTAATAAAACAAGTATTTTAAAATGTAAAACAAATCGAACATCGATAAAGTTCATCAGAAAGTTAAATAAGAAGCTGTGCTGCCGGAGAGCGGATAAAGTTTCGATGAATATTTGCTAGATCAATTTTAAGTTGTTCGATGTTCGGAATGATATTTGAACGAGTTCCTAGTGAGTTCCATACTGCTACGTAAGTAATACAGAGCGTGTGAGCAGATAAGTGAATGAACTCAAAACGTCCTTCGCATGACAATATCGACATCGGTCGATGCAAACGTTACCGCATTATTGTTGTCCATTCTTTTTTTGTACAAAGAAAAGGATATCTTCGAACCTGTTTTTTTTTTCTTTAAGTTTTATGAAACCATTCGACATTGATTCGTTTCTGGGTGTGCGAAGCTTCGTATCGCGTGATGTGGAGGGGTGAAACCCTCCACAGTCCACCGTCTTGCATGTAATTACGAAAGGCGAAAGGAAGTTTGTTACTTTTCGGGGCCAGAGCGTGACTTATGGCCGACCCTCCGTCTTAAAAATAACATTAAGTGGTAATAAAAGGGCGAACGACGCTGGTAATCCCTCGAACACAATCAACAAAGCTGATTGCTTCAAATCCTAACTCCTATATGATAAATGTTGAATACCCATTACGTTGCTCGCATCAAAGTTTAAATCAACATTTCAAACAGGATAAATCCGTAATGTCATACCTGTAATGAATAAACTAATGATAACTTTTTCTGATTAACCGCATATATTGATAATGCGGATTGAAAAAAAAATACTCATTAAAAAAACAAAAGACTATTAATATCGTATAATGTAATGCAAATTAAAAGAAGAGCGTAAAAATCAAACGGCCGGCGCGGATCGTAAGTGGATTTTTATGTGTGGCGACTCCACGGCGTGTATAGCCGACAATAGCTAATCAAAAAGCCGTATCTCATTTTGCGAGACCTTGCCAGGCTGGACGGTACGTTATTTCGATTTCATTTGCGTGCTCGTGCGCTGTGTATGTTTTTTTTTCTACTTTTTCCTTTACTCGGGCTGACCACGCCTAGGGTCAGTCCTTGATCCCACAAACGCTTTGTTGTCCCGAGAAATATGAGGGAAGCCAGGTACCGATGAATAAATGGGATTCTTTCGAGGTATATTGAAATATCTCCGGGCGATACCGCGGGATACGAAGATTAATTCTAAAATGATTAATGGCCAAATCTCTTTTATAATATACTGTTCAGTTATCGTCTTTGTTTCGGTGATCACAGGTTTTTTTATCTTCTTTGATTAACTGCTGCATAATAAAAAAAGTAAGATCGTTTCCGGGAAAGCTATTTGTATATTATCGTTGTTTTGTTTATTTATATTTAACCTGTATGATGAACCTGTAAAATGATTTTTAAATTAAGTTTTTATAACTCACCTCATTTATATATGTATTACAGAAGTTTGGCCAATAAAGACAATATCGTTAAAAACTTAACCTTATTTAATAAAGTTTCTACACAGCCCCAGTATAAGCAATAAAATTACACAATGGGAAAACACGATCATTTTTTATCTGGCAAGTAATATAATTCAGTATCTTCGCTTAATTGTTTCGTGTGTCGTAAAAATTGTCCGTTATGAAATAAGCTGCTGTACCTACATAAAGGTAAGTATATAAACGAAAACTATTGCATATAACAAACGTGGCAGCATAGAACGGGTGTTAGTTTATTTTTATTTTATCAAAAAAGCAATTACCAGTCACGAATCTCGCGCCAGTGACGCGGGTGCTGTAGATTAATTGAATTCTTAGGTGTGAAGCGATCGGTCCGGAGGGGCGGCACGGACACTTTTCAATATCAAGTCCATTTGAGCCATGAGAGGTAGCGTTTTCAAAAACAAAAATCTATGAAGGACATTAGGTTTCAGCGGATCAAGAATTTCAGTCCGAGTAACTGTATTTCCCGCACATGTTTGAATCTAGCTTTAATGTGATTTTTCGACAGCCTTATTGGGGTCTACGGGTCTTGTAGACCCAAAAATATGTATATGTCTATATAATGTAAATAAACAAAAAAAACTAAGTACCGGATTTTAACTACATATTTAATTTACCCTGACGCATGGACTTATCCCTGACCTTGCAATTTTGACGTAGGATGTCTATACATCCATAAGCTCTATAGCTTATGTCTAAACTGACGTTGTCTGCGCCCGGAGTGCATGTTCTGAATGCGTCCTCGGAGGATTACTATCATCTGTGTGTGCCAGCTATAGTAGTACTTAATCTGTACGAATGGCTACTACGTACTGACAATGACTGCCACGCATTACGCCACGTAGTAATGTAACTATACTCTATTCCAGATAACATTAAAAAAAAGGATCTGAAAGAAGCAGGGTTTCGAAACTTTTTTATGTCATGTATAATGATGAAATATGATAATCATATATGATATTACCTATATTATGTTTTACTAGATACTCTCGAGTGTAATGTTATTTATTTAGTATTATCAATTTGTGTGACTTTCTACAAAAATAGGAACTGGGTCAAATTATACAACATAATAAAAATATTGTTAAAAAACTATGTAAACTAATACTAGGTAATAAATTAAAAAAATGTAATTGACAAAAACTAAACATGAATCTTATAACTTGGACCAAAACTCTCATCGCGCCTCTAAAAGGTCCATCATCACCTCCTATCTACTGACTCCGACGTCGACCGCTATCATAAAACGAATACTTTATCTCCCCATTCTATACTCTACCCGCCGATGTAATTAGACACCGACACTGTGTCTGATTCCGAACGTTTATAATATTGTTGGTGTCCAATAAACGTATATTTATCGTGCATTACTATTAATAACCTCGAACCCGGAATCGTGGACGAAAAAAATAATGGAAATAGGTATTTGAATAACATTCCGAAGAGTGAAAGATACGAAAGCTGGTAGTTATTACGTAGATTTGATGACACATTTCGTTTTTGGTTTCGAGAATATTACTTTGTTAATGTGAAGTATTAAAGGTATTAAATTATTCATGCAGTTGCAATTATAACATTAAAAATACTTAATCTGATTAAATTGGAGAAATGGTTCAAAATGGCTCATGTTAATGACAATGAATGTAATAAGTAAAATTATTTGTTTCGGTATCACTAGCTAAATAGAGATCACGAGGAGCTTGATGGCGCGGGTGGATAGCGCGTCGGGCCTGCGATCTTGGAAGTTCAGCAACTTTTCCAATGGTCGGTCATTGAATGGGTGACCAAAACTTTTTATCTCGATCTGCACCGTGCTTCGGAAGGCACGTTAAGCCGTTGGTCCCGGTTGCATCTGCAGTCGTTAGCACCCTTCAAACCGCACTGGGCGCGCGTGACGGGTCATGGCCCAATCTCCATTTTTATCCATAGGGAATGACTGTGCTCCAGCAGTGGGGACATTAATAGGCTGATGATATTGATGATCACTAGTAACCCGCTTGCATCAATCCGGTTTAAGCTATGGTGTTTTTTGTTCATGGGTTTGTATTATACCTACTTAATTGTATGCACCTAAGTATTACTTGTTTTTATTAAATATTTTTTTAAACTTTCCGTGAAAACCGTTATGGAGAAGTCAGTTCGTATGTAAGGTTAGATGCAGAAAGCGATTAATTACAAGTGATCATAACTTCTTTCCGATAATTATGAAATTGACTAAAGTGTAACCCTCAGATAACATTATATATTGTAAACTAGCAATGATGACTGTATCTTAAAAAATCTTAGATAATATCTGCGAATTATTTTCTAGTTACATTTTCTTTAGATATAGGTAAACGCAGTTAAAAGCTTTAATAAAATTAACAAAAATGTTATCCAAAATTTATTTATAAGATGCACAATCTTATTCGTCACTTTAGAAGTTAAACGCTATTCACTCCACCATGGGTAGAGTACTAATGATGTGGACCGCGCAAAAAAATGTGCTCACGATTCCCATACCAAATAAAGACGCATATAATTTGCATGCGCGTACACTTTATTAACCTTAAATTTGCCTCTAAATATATGCACCCATCCAGAGTCTGAGAACCCGATGCATATAGGCATTCAACCTTTTTTGTGGCTGTTTGTAGCAATGTGCCTGCGTAGCCTTTAGAGTTCAATCGCAAATTAATTAAAATATCTGTATTCGGATTCTATTGCTTGTATTTAAAGAAAATAATGTCAAATTTCGAACTTCCTTGGTATATGAAAAGGATCTCCTTAAAGTTGATAGAGAAAAAGGTGATCATCTCATTTTATTTGCTCAAAACTATCGGTTAGGATTTATGGCCTGCTCAGAACAGAACCTCTGAGCAAGTAATTTATAAAAGTCGGCACTTCTATTGCTTGCCCTTGTTCCGAATTAGGTATGGCTTTTGTACCAACCATACTAAAAAAACATACTACCTAAATAAGTAGGAAATGTCAAAATAGTGATGTACCTTACCAGATGTCAAAAAAAATGTGGTGTACCTTACCAGACATCGCTAAAAATTATTACTCATAAATTTACTAATTATACTTCATAATCATAATTTAGTAATTACTCATAAATCTTAAATATTTCATACTTTGGTAGTAAGATCCAATTGCAGCAACATTGCTAAATTTCGATTTCACTAAAACTAGATTTAATCCTTAGAAAAATGTCTAAACGTATGTCCACTTGACATTATATAGGCTGAATCTAGATTTAGTTAAATTGAGATTAGCAAAATATCTGCAAGTAAACCTAACAGCAAGAAATCCCAACACAGCACG